CAGCATTAAAACTCTTATTTACAAAATACTGAAGACCTGGTAATAACAAACAGAAAGGACAAAATATTCATCCTTCATTGCTCTCATATATAAGAAGCTTTACTACTCCAGGTCTAGATAGGTGGCTGAAGGCAGGGTGTAAGATTATTCATTTAAAAGCACTAAAATGTGCAAATTAATTACCATAACTATCCATGCGTGCTTTAGCTGGCTTAAATGCTGGGCTGTTTTTTCCAGGTTAAGGGAAATATTAACCTGTAGGAAGCTCTATCCAGGTCTGTAGCCTGAAGAGCTGAAAGCCCAAAGATCTGAGTCCTGGCAATGAAAATTCAGGAGCTATCATAGCCTTTGATTGAACATCCCAATAGTTTCATTAAGACCTCGTCCCTGCATTTTATGTTTGCTAATTAGCAAATTCAAACACTTTATCTCTGTGTTATCTTTGTGCAAGAGAGCGGCAAATTTATGGCATTATAAAATATTGCGAGAATTTAAAGGTTCGCAGGCAATTAGATTTTGTAATTCTTGTTTACGCCTCAGAAGGATTGTTCATTTTAAAACTTTACAGTTAATATGTACAAAGATAAAACAGTGGCCTGCGTTGCTCTGGTGACTGAAGTCAAGTGGTTGAGTGAGCTGAATGGATTAGGAGAGAAAAATGCTTTGGAAGTGGCTGCCTTGATCCTCAGCTGGATATTCCAGGGAATTTACCCCGAGCAGAGGGTCCGTGACAGGTTAGTGACATTTTCCTTGGCATCGTCCCCATGAGGAAGCGTGGGGCGATGGACACGGGAGCAGGATGGAGCACGGGCTCGCAGTGATGGGTGTCACAGCCGGGGTTTGCTTTTGAGGTGAAAAGCGATGGAAGCGCTGCGAGCGGCCGGGGTTCCTGATGCAGCGCGGCGGAGCGCTGACACCTGCCGGCAGCAGCGACCTGGGGCCGGCAGGGCCACCTCCTGTCCCCGGGGTTGTCCCTGGGATTGGCCAGGGACCCAGCACATCCCCCCGGGATTGTCCCTGCCAGCGGTGCCGAGCCGGCTCCTGCCCCGGGATCCAGCCTGGGATCAACCCCGAGACCCTCCTGTCCCCAGCACAGACCCATGGACCTGAGCCACCTCCTGTCCCCAGCACTGACCCATCTGAGCCACCTCCTGTCCCCAGCACTGACCCATGGACCTGAGCCACCTCCTGTCCCCAGGACTGACCCACTGACCTGAGCCACCTCCTGTCCCCAGGATTAATCTGGGACTGTCCATGGAGCCACCTCCTCCTCTGGACTGGACTCAGGAATGACCCCAGAGCTGCCACCTGCCCCTGGGATCCACCCGGGAACTGTCCACAGAGCCACCTCCTGCCCCAGGACCAATCCTGGAGCCACCTCCTGCCCAAGACAAGCCTCAGAGCCACCTCCTGTCCCCAGGGCTTGGAACGGGGTGACCTTTAAGGTTCATTCCAGCCCAAACCATGCTGTGATTCCATGACCCAGGTCCCCAAAGGGCTGTCACAGCTGCTGGTTTCGCCCCAAGTCACCCTGTGGCTGTCACTGAGACTTGCTCTGACAGCCCCTTCGGGTGTCCCAGTGTCCCCTGCACCCCCCCAGCTGCTGGCTGGGCCAGGGAAACCCATCACCCCTATTCCTTAGGGGATCATGGAATAATTTGGGTGAGAAGGGACCCAAAAAAAGCTCATTTAATCCAATCCCTCTGCATTAAAAATGTGCATTACTCCATTCCAGCCCTACTCCCTGCTCAGGCCAGGAGCTCCATCATCATTTCCTGCTGTCACCAAGCCCAGGAGCTCAGGGGGTGCTGGAAATTTTCCCTTCTCCTGCTCCAGTGGTGGAACTGAGGCGTTCTGCAGCAGTTCCAGGACAGGAAGAAGATTTCTCTTTGATTGCTTTTTAATCACAGTAATAACAGTAACGGAGGCAACGAGTGGAATTGATGGGAAAGAGCTGAGCTCTCCCCTCTGCTGGCTCCCTTGTGGGGTAAACAAAAAGGATTTGCCAGCTCCTCCAGTGAATTGGTGGGATCCTCGCTCTTCAGGATGAGTGGTGGTGATGGCTGGGGGAAAATAGCTGGTATTTAATGCCTGGGAGTAGAAATATGCCAGGAATCCTCTGGAAATCTGTAAAAAAACCCTTGTCCACACAGAGGGATGTACAATTGCTCCTTTAAGTAGCTCTGAGTGCTACATCTACTTGGTTTTGGCCTTGAATCTGCATCTTCAGCATCCCACAGGGGTTTTATCTCTCCCACAGGGGAAGGAGAAGCTGTGATGGACACAAGAGCTTTGAGCTGAGCAGAACCAGAGGTCCCCAGAAGGGCTCAAGAGGGTGGAGGATCCCAGAATCAACCTCCTGGGGAGATCCAGGTCCAGGCTGGGCCAAAATAACCTTATTTTGGCCAATAAATAAAGGAACGAGCATTTCCCTCCAGAGGGAGCTGGGGAGGTTGAACTCTGGCCCAGGCTGAGGGGTTTTTCAGAAATGCCCTTGCAGGGAAGGACTTTTGTGGCACCAGGGCTTGGCAGCTCACCTAACTGGGTATTTTTGGGGTGTGGGACTAGAAATGTACATCAGCTTTTGACTCTCAAGGATGTGGGAATTTCCTGTGACCTTAAATATCCAAAAAGCAGCCAAACAGCCTCAGAGAGCTGGCAAAATGGCTCCTGCAGGCCTGCTGCCCCACATCGAGGATAATTCAGAGAGACTCGGCCTCAGTGAGAGCACAGAAACACCAAAGACAGAGCAAAGCCCGTTGGTTTTGGTCAGACATGGAGCTTTCTCCTTTATTTCTGCAGTGTGGTGCACACGTGAGGGGCCTCGTTTACATCACCAGCAGAGCCCCCTGTCCTGTCTGAGGAGGAATCATCATCATCATCATCATCATCATCATCATCATCATCATCATCATCATCATCCCTCAGGCTTTGCTGACCAAGACACGATCCAAACAGTTCCTGCACACCCCAAAGCCTGGCTGGAACCCCCCCCAGGAAGCACAGGGGGGTTCCAGAACCCCCTGTGCCCCATCCCAGGGGGAAAAGGGGGACCCCAGCAGGGTCCTGGCATCCCCAGGGCTGAGGCAAAGAGGGAGCAGCTCCATTCCTTGTGGGAATTTGGGTGTGCAGGGCTGGGGAGGCCCTTGGGGAGGGCAAGGGGAGCAAGAGGCTGTGGGGGCACGGAGGGGACAGCGGGAGGAAAGGGACAGTGGTGGCCTCAGGCAGGGTCCAGCTGGCACCACACAGCCTTGATCAGGGATCGGGGGGGTTAACATGCTGAGGAGGAGGAGGAGGAAAAGGAAAAACATTTACATGTTTTGGAGCATAAAAAGGAGGTGGTGCAAGGTTTTACTGGACCTGCTCAAGGGCAAAACAGTGAGACCTGGAGGGGGCTGATTTTGTCCTTTCACATACATCCTCAAACCCCTCAGTGCTTTTCCCAGCAATTCCATCCCTTTTTTTCACATCCCTTTTGTCACATCCTGCCCTACCACGCCAGCCCCTTCCCTCTCTGGTCTTTATGGGGGAAAAGAAAAATTAAAAATCATCATAAAGTGACATTTCAAGTGCTCTGGAGTGACCAACATTCAGCCCCAGGAGTTTTGGGTGAGGTGTGGGATTAAAAAGCCATGAGTATCTTTGCAAAGGGATGAGCCAGGAAGGAATTTTCAGGTGGGACCTCCCTCAGCAAGGTGCTGGAAGCAGGAAAAAGAGGGGGGAAGCCATTCCAAAACTGCTTGAATAGAGCAAACCATGAAAAGGAGCTGTTAGGTCTTGGTTTTCAGCATTTGAGGGCTCTTATTCCCATTTCCCCCCCTGCATGGCATGGACTGAACCCCTCAGCTTGTCCATGGAGAGGGAAAATCACCTCGGGGAGATCATGGGATGGTTCTCCAGCCCTGGATGTGATTCATCTGTCCAGGGGACAAATATAAAAATATTATCCTGGGCAAAACAAAAAGCTGTGGCAGTAATTCTCATTGCCCACTGCAGGGGAAAAAAATATAAAATACATGAACTACAGCATATAAATCAATTTTGGTTTAAGGGAATTAAGAAAAACCACCACAAACTAGAAAAGCACCCGGCACCTATGGCATCTAATCAATCTTGTATTACTAGGATGGATTTGCTTTTTATTTCTTAATTCAAAAAGGTGGCTGGAGGGGCACTTGAACAGGCTAAAAAAGCCTCCCTGTCCTCCTCCAGCAGCTCTGGGAAAATCCTGCTGGGGTTTTTGGGCAGAGCTGAGCTGATGGAGGACCCTGGGCACATGGGATGCCACCAGGGGATGTGACCCCAGCGCAGAGAGGAAAAGCTGGAGCCTGGGATGAGCTTTGGAACATCCAGCAGGGTTTGACAGCTCTGGGGATAAGGGGACAGCTGCCTAGCAGGGGGTGCCACAATTCCCAGCTCTGGGAAAACCCTGCTGCGGGTTTGGGCAGGTGAGGAGCAGAGCTGAGATGATGGGGACATGGGATGCCACCAGGGGATGTGTGACACCACCAGAGGATGTGACCCCAGTGGGAGCTGGGTGTCCCCAGCGGGGAGAGGAAAAGCTGGAGCCTGGGATGAGCTTTGGAACATCCAGCAGGGTTTGACAGCTCTGGGGACAAGGGGACAGCTGCCTAGCAGGGGGTGCCACAATTCCCAGCTCTGGGAAAATCCTGCTGGGTTTCTTGGGAAGGTGAGGAGCAGAGCTGAGCTGATGGAGGACCCTGGGCACATGGGATGCCACCAGGGGATGTGACCCCAGGGCAGAGAGGAAAAGCTGGAGCTTGGGATGAGCTCTGGGGCATCCAGCAGGGTTTGACAGCTCTGGGGACAAGGGGACAGCTGCCTAGCAGGGGGTGCCACCCAAGCATCCACAATTCCCAGGAAGGGCAGAGCAGCTGGGGGGACAGGGAGGGGACAAGGAGGGGACAAGGAGGGGACAGCAGAGAGAAAAGTCCTGGTGTGCTGAGGGCAGGGCCACCCCTGCCCTGGAGCAGGAGGGGCGGGAGGAGCAGGGACACGTGTGACAATCCTCAGCTGGGCTCGGCTCTCCTCTCGTCCTCAGCAGCTCAGGGCGCCTCGTTGGAGGTGGCTCCGTTGCCTTTGCTGACGTAGAAGGGGCGGTAATGGGACTGCAAGGCAGAATTTGGGGCACGTCAGTCTCACCCCTCCTTCCCTGACCTCCAGCCTCCCATCCACCCTCATCTCACCAATCCCAGCTTCAGCACCCCGAGGAATTGGATTTTAGAATTGTTTTTGATGATGTGGTTTGGTGGGTTTTTAAAATTTTTTATGTAAGTAAAAAAAAATTTATATATATATATATATAGATATATATAATATTTTTATAGTAATATTATACTATACTTTTAAATTATATTATAATATATAAATAGTTTTCAATCCAAGCAGAAACACGTGGCAAAATTGTGTTGTGCAGCCTCCCTTTGCAGGAGCAGCAGCCAATTTCTCTGCTGGGATCCCTGGCTGCACAATCTCCAGCCTGGCTGGGAATATCCTCCCACCACTGGAGGAATAACCACGGATTCAGGAAAAAAAATGGGGTTTTAAAGCCCAGTCGGGAATATCCTCCCACCACTGAAGAAATAACCATGGAATTCAGGAAAAAAAATGGGGTTTAATGTCCAGTTGGGAATATCCTCCCACTGCTGGAGGAATAACCATGGAATTCAGGAAAAAAAATGGGGTTTAATGTCCAGTTGGGAATATCCTCCCACTGCTGGAGGAATAACCACAGAATTCAGGAAAAAAAGGAGGTTTTAAAGCCCAGTCTGCCTTGGGTTTGTTCTCACATGCAGAAGGTGGGAGGAACCCCACAGCCCCTTTTGGTGCAGCCCTATTTAACAGCAGGAACAGCAGGAAACAAGAGCAGAGCAAGCCCAGCCCATCTCCCTACTCAATGTTCCCCTTTTGTCGAGATTCTTTTCATTTTATGGCTTTAATTTCCAACAGAATTAAGATTTGAAAGAGGGGGGCTTCATTTAAAACGGCTCCCTGGGTGTGAAAAAGACCTTCCTCCTTAAACAGCACAGTGCTTTGTGAAAATTCATATTTACAGACCTTTTACAATGTATATTACTTAAATACACATTTAAGGCTGGTTTAAAAGCCAGATTATTGGCCCAATAGACCATAAAAGCTCCTGCAGAGATACTGCAGCCTGCAGTATGTATTTCTATTTTGGTGCTTTTAAATGCTTATATTTATCAGCTCAGTTTTTGGGCTCAGGGCTGTGTGGTGAATATTGGCTGTAAAAAGGAAATGGTCATTACAGATGTGTGTGTGGAAGAGGAAGGGACACAGGGAAGGGACGGTGGCAGAAGTTACCCAGATTTTCTCTGTGGGGATTAAAGAAAAATCCCTGGGAACACAACGGATGTGGGTGATGATGTTTTAGAGGTCAAACCCAAGGCAGAAAGGATGGCAGAGTTTTGCTGGTTTGCTGCAGCACCTTCAAAGGCTCGAGGCTGGATTTCCTGGAAGAATCTGCCAAGGAACATCCCTTCCACAGGAATTCACCTCCTGGGGAGCCTTGAAAATGGAGCAGATCCAGCTGCAGTCCTCAGGCAGCCAATTTCTACCTGCTGTGTGTTTCCCTCAGTGTGGGAATGCTCTCTGCTCCTTACAGGTCTCACTTCCACCAGACACTAAATCATCTCTCACAAATGTGCAATCAGAAATTACAAAAAAAGAAAAAAAATAAACACAATGTTTCATTTGTGGTGGCAAAAGCTCGACAATCTTAATTCAGATCATGGAAGGCCTTAATAGCACAGTGTGAATAAAACCAGATTAACTGGGTGCTCCTGAGGCAGTGCATTGACTGGTTGTGTATTTGAGATTATAAACACTAAAAGATCTTTGCCCTGTGCCTCTTATCACCATCAGTGTGAAACCAGGGGCCTGGAGATGCTGTGGTGATTCCTGGTCACAGCCTGACCCCTCATGTGGGATCCTGCATTTCCCCACTGCAGGACAGGACCAGCAAGGCTCTTGGATGTGGTTGTTTCTGGTGTCACTGACACACTGTGGATGCCACAGAGTGACTCAGAGTGGGTGACAAGGAAAAGTGCTATCGGTATCATTTTACAGGATTTGCACAGTCCCTATCTTCTGCATCATATTTTAGATCAAAACATCATTTTTGCAGCATTGATCAGAGCTGTGGAAGCTGGGGGGGTTAATCTGCATCCTGAACAGGAGCAGTGGGGTTGAAGCTTTTATTTCCATGCTCCCATGATCCCATCCTTATTCCTGAAGCCCCCCTGGAACAAACTGAAGCTCTCCCAAGAAAAAAATTATTCTTTTTCTTACCAATACAGACTGCTTGGAGGAGGATTTCCATGTCTGTGGCGTCACCTTTGCAGACTGGTGCCTCACTATGGAAGGGTAGGCTGTGACAACACAAAACACAGCCAGTCACACACCAGCCCCTGCCACTGCCACCCCGGTGTCCCCAGGAGCAGCAGCAGGACTGGAAGTGCCACCTCATTAGTATTGCATTGCTCAACATGGAAATGCAGCCATCCCCGGGGTGGGACACACAGACAGCCGGCAGACAGATGCCTCTGCCACCACCCAATCAGGCAGGAAAAGGCAGGAAAGAAGGTCTGGCTAATTAAAATGTCTGAGGAATGCAGAGAGGTGGAATGCAATCAGACCAATTAAATTCAGGCCAGAGTCCCAAAGTCAGCATTCTGGCTCTTGCAGAGAGCACTGCAGGCTGTTTAATTAGTGCAAAGAGCTGAGCCTGGGGTTCCTGCAGTTCCTCTGGCAGCTTGATAAGCCCTGACCCCCTTCCAGCCCCCCAGGCCTGCTGTGCCCCAGGGCTGCAGCAGCCCTGCAGTGTCACAGCCAATGTCACCATGGCCCTGCATCTCTAATTAATCACACCTGACTCTGCTTGGCAGGTTCTGGTGCTCCTGGATCCCACCAGAGGTGGGAAGTGACAGCAGGGTGATGAGATGGTGAATGAGGGTTTGGTTCTGGTGAAGGAGGACAGGCAGCTCCTGCATGTTGTTTTTTTTTTTTTTTTAGGTTGTGCTGTTTGTGTTATTTTTCAGGGATGAAACTACAGAGGCAAACGGTGTCTTCCTCAAGAATCATCTAAAATTTATCCCTACCCGTTACAAACAAAATTTAAAATCCCTCCACCTGTTCGTTAGATAAAACTTTAATATTTTTGAACAATCTTTGCTGCCCTGCTTCAGCAGAGTGACTCTTGTGCAGGTGCCTCAGAGATTGGCAGTCAGGCCAAGGTGTAGGACTGCTCCAGGAGGCAGAGCAGGATTTGGGGGTCTGGCACCTCAAAGGGGGCAGGAAGGCAGAGCAGGATTAGGGGGTTTGGCACCTCAGAGGGGGCGGGAGGAGGGGAATAGTCAGTTCCTAGTACCGGTCTTAGTGAAGAGGCTCCCATCAGACTGTTTGCTGAAGTCACCGGGCGGATTCTGTCCCACCGAGGAGAACTGAAAAGGCAGCTTAGTGCCATTGCCTACTGGAAGATAAAGAGGTTGTGTTATTCCACAGGGCTGCAGGGGGGCAGTTCCAAACCCTCCTGTGACTCTGCCTTCGCCTGGCTCGGGGGGCACCAGTCCCTTGTCCCTTTTGTCCCTTTTCTCTCAGGGACAAGAGGCAGCTGTGTGTGGGTGTGAGGTGATGCCAGAGCTCCAGGACCAGCCTTTCTCCTGAGAGCCCCAGAGTGCAGGTGTGGAGCGGCTCCCTGCACCTCCCGAGGCAGGAGGGATGACTCCAGCACTGCCCTTCCTCCCAGGCTTCACTCAAACCATTAAAGCTTCCCCTCCTGGCCTCCTCGGGGTCAGGCCCTGGCTGCCAGAAGGAATGTGAGAGCAGGGAGATGAGAGGGACACAGCCCTGCCTGTGGAAGGCAGGAGGGGCTGAGGTGTGGCTCTGAGTCACCAGAGCTCCCCAGGCAGGGTGGCCCTGGCTTCTTCCAGCACCAAGGGAAAGGCTGGACCTTGTAGGAACGAAGCAGAGGAGGAAAATGTTGGGAGAGGAAGATGGGGATCTAGGAAGAAAAGGCATGAACGTGGGCCAGGCTGTGTCTTTGAGAACTTCATAATAAAAGGTGTGATAGAAAGAAGCACCTTGTGCTTCTGAGACTGGCTGGGAGTACTTGGAGTCTCCTCCTGCTTCTGCCACAACCTGCTCAGGGTGCTCTGAATGTTCAGTGTCTGGGGATCTTTGCAAACTGCCTCCTGTGTTTTGCACCTCCTTTCTCTGTGCTCAAGCAGAACCAGGGGTGCCTTTCCCTGCTCTGAGCAGAGAGCCCGGGCTGGGCTGTGTGCAGACAGTGCTGACAGCCCAGCAGGGGCTGGCTCTGGGATTTTCAGGTGCCAGGGCAGCTGAGAGGGGCAGCAAGAGAGGTGGGTTAGTCAGGCAGAAAGCTGTGGCACGGGGGGTTAGATCCTCTCAAACTGAAGGCAGAATTACCCGTACCAAGTGTTTCCTCGGTCGCTTGGAAGGAGGAAAATTCCCATGACCGTGGGTTGAAATTGGCTGTAAAACAAGAGCATCCAGTTCAGCAGTCGGCTCCTGACGAGGCCTGTGCCTGGCACTGCTCTAGGAAAAGGTCCCCACCGAGCTGGGAGCAGCCCCAGAACAGAAATCTGGGCCCAGGCAGCAGAGGAGAAGCTGGGTTTTATCTCTGGGTGTTGGGGAATGGGGAACAGGCTTCTCCTGCAGTGAGCAGAACAGTGCCACAGAGCTGCAGGAAATTGCCAGCTCAGGTTTGGGTACTCAACATGAGAGCTCTGCAGGCAGAGCTTTGGGTTCAGAGCTCCACAGATACCAGGGCAGGAACATTTCCCAGCCCTGTGCCAGGTGAGTGCCCCAGGCTCCCACCAGGACACAGACTGGTGCTGCTGCAGCCCACTGGGGGGGCACTGGGCTCCCAGGAAAGCAAAAAGATGGATCCTTGGAGCTGCTCTGCTGCCATCCTGTGGGCTGCTTCTCTGTTTAAGAAGTGTTTCGGTGTACACAATTCTCTCTCTGTGTGCCTGAGTCCCTTCATAGACTTTCAAGATGATTTTTCCAACCTCCTCCTGGCGTTGGCCAAACTGTTTGACACGTCAGGAGAAGAAAGCTTAGTGGGAGAGGACAGAAAGGAGCATGGAGCAGTTGGACAGATTGTTCCTCTGTCTTTGAGGCAGTGTTTGAAATGTTTTATGCCCCTCTGCCTCATCCTGTCATCGCTGCAAGCAAATATTGGATCATGGAATGGTTTGGGTTGGAAGGGGCCTTAAAAATCATCTCATTCCAGCCTCTGCCGTGGGCAGGGACACCTTCCACTAGCCGAGGTTGCTCCAAGCCCCATCCAACCTGGCCTTGGACACTTCCAGGGATCCAGGGACAGCCACGCTGCCCTGTGCCAGGGCCTCACCACCCTCACAGGAAGAATTTCTTCCTAATATCCCATCTAAACCTCCTCTCTTTCAGTTTGAAGCCATTTATTATGAAACTCAAGAGCAGTGGAAGTCTTGAATTTAAGCAGGGCTTAAACCCAATAGTTTCAGCTGGAATCCAAGCAGTTCCCCAGTCTGGCCTGCTGTAATTAGCACAGAGCATTCCTCAAACCAGCAAACAGACTTTCCACTGTGGCCTGGGGGAGAATCTGCAGTGACCCAGCCTGAAAACAGGGTGTGTAGCAAAGCTGCCATGAGATATTGAAGGATTCCAAGGGTGTTACACAATGCAGAGGGTGGTCCTCGTTTTTTCCCTCCTGTTTTTGGGATTCTTGAACAAAGATGCAATCGGCTGCACTGCTGGACTTTGATGCCACAGCACAGGGCACAGAGAGCTCAGGAGAGTTAAATGATGATGGGGATGGTGCATTATTCATGGGGTGATCCTTGGCTAGCCAGCCTACAAGCCAAGTGGGTCACGTCTCCTGCTTTGCCTACTGATTCATCCTGCTCCCCACATGTCCCCCAGCGTGGTTCCAGCAGCTGGATCCTCCCTGAGCCCTGGCCCTGCTCAATCCCTGCTCAGCACAAGCTCTGTGTGCAATCATGGATCCTCCCTGAGCCCTGGGTCTTCTCAATCCCTGCTCAGCACAGGCTCTGTGTGCAATCATGGATCCTCCTGAGCTCTGGCCCTGCTCAGTCCCTGTCCAGTACAAGCTCTGTGTGCAATCATGGATCCTCCCTGAGCCCTGGGTCTTCTCAATCCCTGCTCAGCACAGGCTCTGTGTGCAATCTTGGATCAGCTGGATCCTCCCTGGCCCTGCTGGGCCCTGCTCAGCAAAGCTCTGTGTGCAATCATGGATCCCCCTGAACCCTGGCCCTGCTCAATCCCCCTCCAGCACAGGCTCTGTGTGCAATCATGGATCCTCCTGAGCCCTGGCCCTGCTCAATCCCATTCAGCACAGGCTCTGTGTGCTGTCATGGATCCTCCCTGAGCCTTGCTGGGTCCTGCTCAATCCCTGCTCAGCACAGGCTCTCTGGGCAGTCATGGATCCTCCCTGGCCCTGCTGGGCCCTGCTCAATCCCTGCTCAGCACAGGCTCTCTGGGCAGTCATGGATCCTCCCTGGCCCTGCTGGGCCCTGCTCAATCCCTGCTCAGCACAGGCTCTGTGTGCTGTCATGGATCCTCCCTGAGCCTTGCTGGGCCCTGCTCAATCCCTGCTCAGCAAAGCTCTGTGTGCAATCATGGATCCTTCCTGAGCCCTGGCCCTGCTCAATCCCATTCAGCACAGGCTCTGTGTGCTGTCATGGATCCTCCCTGAGCCTTGCTGGGCCCTGCTCAATCCCTGCTCAGCAAAGCTCTGTGTGCAATCATGGATCCTTCCTGAACCTTGGCTCTGCTCAATCCCATTCAGCACAGGCTCTGTGTGCTGTCATGGATCCTCCCTGGCCCTGCTGGGCCCTGCTCAATCCCCATCCAGCACAGCTCTCTGTGCAATCATGGCCTGGCTTGTTTTGGCCAGAGTCACTTTGTTGGTAGAAAACACAGAGTGAGTAATTGGGAAGGCAGCATTGTCAGTGTTTCCAGGAAAACACGGATGTGGAGGTGGGATAAATCATCCCCCAGTTTTGGGCAGTCAGCAGGCCATTGCAGGAGGAGGGGATGGCTGTGCAGCCCTCACTCTGCTCTGGACACAAATCACCACGGAGCTGGCAGGGCCTGGGGATCCCTCCTGGATCTTCAGCTAGCTGGAATGCTGGATCCCAGCTGGAGCCTCTTCTCCCAGGTGTGGGAAACTCAGACACTCATGCTGTGCCACTGCCAAAATGGCTTTTTCCTTCTTTTTCCCTTTCTTTTTGCCAGTGTTCCCATCCCAGGGTATGACATTGCCTGGTGTTCCTCCCTGCCACACCCTTTAATGCCTCTGGGGCTGTTTCCACCTGAAAGATCCACATTTTGGGTAGAGTTAAGCTCAGCTTGTGCTGATTTTCAAACTTCCCTCAGGGTTGGAAAGTTTTTGGTGCAGGGCTGAGTCTGTGGTCTCAGCACAACTTCCCTGACAGCACAGGGCTTGCAAACCCTGAGGAAGGAGAGCAGAAAATCAAACCCAACTCTAAAAAATGCCACTCTGCCCCTGAACTTGGGAAGAGCCCTGCTGGCACTGAAATGAGAATGCCATCCCTGCTCCAAATATCCTCAGGGAGCTGCCAGGGTGGGCTGAGGGCACAGAAGGGCAAAGTGACAATCCAGAAAAAGGGATCTGGGTCTGGGTTATCCTCAGGAAACACCAGCACAGGGCAGGAATGTGCCCTCAGGGAGTGTCCCCTGCTCCCTGCTGCCATGTCCCTGTCCCTGCCCATCCTGTGCTGCAGAGCAGCAGCTGGAAACACCTGGCAAACCAGGGCAGGGCTGAAATTTGGTTACTTGTTTCGTGCCACCCTTCCTGTTCTTTTGTTCCTCGCCTTGCCTGGGCTTTCAGCACCATCAGCTCATTGCTCTGGACGCCAGTTTAGGAATGCCAACTGTGATTTTAGAACTGGATGTGTTGAAAACATTGGTTCACTCCAAAAATTCATCCTGAAGTGGCCACACAACAAGCGGGATATAAACAAATAACCAGGGCTCTTGTCAGAGCTCACAGAAGAGCTCCAGACTCCTGGTTTTGGTTTTTTTTAGGACACATTCCTCACTTCTTCTGTCCTTTCCCTGTAAGGAAAAATTATGTTTGGTGGTAAAAGTAAAATCTGAATGCTTAATGCAGCTTTTGCTTGGTAGCACTGAAAGATAAGCTTTGGGTGGAGAAAAACACTGATTTTATCCTGGAAACCCATGCTAAAACTCCCCTATATTCACTCTTGGATAAAGTTCAGCCACGTGTTTGGTGGTGAAAGTAAAATCTTTGATGCTTAATGCAGCTTTCACTTGATAGCACAGAGAGATAAGCTTTGAGTGGAGAAAAACACTGATTTTATCCTGGAAACCCATGCTAAAACTCCCCTATATTCACCCTTGGATAAAGTTCAGCCACTGCAGCTCTTCCCCATAAAACTGAAAACCTCTTCTGCCTGTTTTGAGGCAAAACCTTGTCAAAGCTCTGTGAGCTGGAGAGAAAATGTGCAGAGGGATGGATCTGAGATGTGGAGGAGAGCAAATTTTGGGCTGGATTATCAGTGCAGCTCCTTTCCTGAGCTGGAAGGGAGCCTGCCCAGCTGTGGGATGCCATCCTCACCTTTGGGAGACAGGAACATGGAGAATCTCTTCAGGTTGTCGGGCTGGTTCCACTCGTAGTTGTTCATCATGAACCGGTGGTCCCCTGCAGAGGCAGAGCAGGGCATGAGCTCGGGGATGCACTTTGGGGGTCTTTAATCCCCCTGGGGGATCTTTGCCTGGGAGATAAAGCAGTTCTGGAGCTGGCCAGAGTCTAAAATAAAAGATTCCTTCAGAGGAAGAGCCCAGCTGAAGCATTCAACCTCGCAGCAGACACAGGTTCTTCTAAAATCCATAGGGAGACCTGAGGGTTGAGGCATTTTCTTACCAAAATGATGTCGTGTGGCTTAAAATGACTCCAAAAGTTTGAGTTTGGCTCCTTTTGTGTGTTCAGCCTGAGCACAGGGCTGGCTGATGGAGAACTGCCACTCTTTAAAGCTCCAGAAATCACTTCTGGGAGGGTTCAAGGGGTTGGCTTCTCCAGTTTTCAGAGAGAGGTGCTAAAGCTGAGCTGCAAACAGCTCTAAACTCTTGGACAAGGGTTGTTTCAGGTTTCATGGATCAAACTTACTCCTACACAGCCTGGGTTTGTGTTTCTGACACTGATTCACAGGAAATGAGGCTTTATCACTACACTTGCTCATAAAAACATTCTTTGGAAGCCTCTATAAACCTGTTGTTCTCTGCAAGGAAGTAAATTCGGTTTTCATGTTTAAATAGCTCCATTCTTTGATTCTCAAGTCACTGAAAAAACTTTTCTTTCACTTCTCCCATTTATTTCAGTGCTATTTAAGCTCCCTGATTATTTGTCTCCTCACCACATAGGTACCTGTTATGACAACTAAAAGGACATGGATTCCCTTTGGAGTCTGCTATTAAGCAGTTTTCATTCCATTAATATAATATTTCTTCCTGGGAAGTTTTTTACAGTGGAAGATCAAGCCAGCTGCAAATGAATTTGTTGCAGTGACTCAGGGGGAGTCTGAGTTAATAACTCCACAGTTCCTTAATGGATTTAATTCCCTGGCAGCCACTGGATGCAGAGTGCTGCCCTCTTTCATCTGTAACCATGGCTTGGAGAAGGGAGAGCTCTGAAGCTCCTGGGACTCGCCATAAATAACATTTCCCACCTGTTCCCAACTTTTCATTAGGGCAGAATCCAAGCTGAGTCCCTGGTAAAGCAATTCTGGAAGCACCCAGGTTTCTGGCAGGAGTTAAAAATGGTTTCGGCACTTGGATTCCATGGATTTCAAATAAAAACGAGGGCTTCTGGCATCAGTAACATGGAGGAGACCCCAATTAAAATAATCAAGAGCTAATCAGGCTTTATCCTGAGCTACCAGGACTGAGTAGCTGCAGAACCTTGTTGGGTTTTAAAAATGCCCAAGGAAAATGCTGCAGGAGTGGCAAAACCCAGCCCAGCAGATGGAAATTCTGCACAGCTTCAGGTGAACAAAGAAAGAAAAATGCACAGAAGTGATTTTTGCATCTGTTTGTCATCTATTGATATTGAGTTATTGTCAAATTTCTCAGTAATTCTGGAGCATGTGGAGTGTTGGGAATTTAAACAGGAATGTTGCAGTGATGAAAGATAAGTAATGTTCAATTTCTGGTGCTACTTTAAAGGCAGGGAGAGTTTTAAAACCTGCATCTAGTTGTGCATCCTGAGCACTCTGGGATCCCTGACCTTCCTGAAAGGTTGGTCCAGAAGGATCTGGTCCATTTAATTCAAGTCTGATGGAGGATGATGGTTCTGGACAGTGCAGTTATTAACACAGGAGGGGTTCCCAGTAGATACTGTGAATTTGAGTGAATTATCAGCGATTTTGCAGATCTGCAGCAGAGTTCCTCAGCTCCTGTGTTGCATGAGCTGTCCTTGAGGCTATTCCTGCACCTTTTGGCCTCCCACATCCTCTTGGAAGAGCAGGGTGCCACTTATCCTCACATCACCCACTGCTGGCCTGGTATTGGGCTTCCCCAATGGCTGAGAGATTATATCCAGGTGAGATAAGCACTCATTGCCATCCCTGCTGCAAGAGGTCATCCCCTGGGATTGGGCAACATGCCCAGGGTTGCAAAGGCAGCCTGAGGGAGAGCTGGGAAGTGCAGACAACACAGCCCCGTTGTGGTGCCCTGTCCTAAGCTCAGGTGTGAGCCTGATGCAAGACAAGTCCTTTATTCACAGCTAATTGCAAGGAAGTGGGTTATAAACTTAAAAGATTAATTTTGCTGCTGTGGTGGTGGCTGTGACCTCTCTGTTCACCTTAAAGATCACCGTAAACATCACTGAAGTGTGGGGAGCACCCTGGGTCAGGGCAGGCAGGAAAGCTGTCCCGAGTGGAACAGGGAGTATGATCAGAGTCATTCCGCCTCCAGCTGTAGCTAAACACCCAAACTGAGCCATTTTTTACTTGGAAAATTAGACTTTCAAACATTTCCTTCTCACTGACAGGTGCTTGCAGGGTATTTCAGTGCTGAAACCCTGCACTTGTAATATTTGATGTCACACCAGCACCCTACAGGTGCTAACTGAGTGGTACAAATAGGATTTCAAACTTGCCATCCCACATTCACTTTGTGAATTCACCCTTCACTGAGCTGCCTCAGCAGATCTGTGGAGTTTCCCCTCCTGGAAAATGTCCTGATAAACTTCCAGGGGCTTGCTGGAGCCTGGCACAGGGCAGGAGGGAAGGGTGGCTGCTCTTCACTCCACACAGGAGGTGGCTGAACCCATTAAATCCTAAACATTAAACCCTAAAATGAACCAAAAATCAGGGAAGTGGGGCCAGTTTGGTGTCCTGTATGAGATATCCTAAATCCCTGGCAGTTCAACTGATTCCATCCCCACACAGGAGAGGTAAAATAACTCTGATATTCCAGAATTCATATTCTAATAACTCTCATCTTCCAGAATTCCAGCTACAGAGTCGCTACTCCCACTTTCCCCTCAGGTCTTTGCTTACTTTCTCCCTCACCAGGAGTGCTCACCATTCTCATCACCCGCTCCAGGGAATCAGGAAGGGAATGTTTGGGATGTTTTACCGTTCTCCATGTGGTTCCTCTCGATGAAGTTGCGGCCCAGGTCTGCCTTGCAGATCTTCTCCACGTGCCTCATGCAGACGTTGAGGAGGTCGTCCCTGAGCAGCCCCATGGATGGGCTCATGCTCTCCCCCTCCAGCAGCACGCTGTAGGTTGGGAGGGATGGAGGGGGCACATAATTCCTCATCAGAGCCCCAAATTCCTGCCAAAGAAAGGGATTGCATTAATGAGCAGCATAAAAGTGTGGAGGCTGAATCAGAGGGAGCTGGTTGATGTTAGAATCCAGAAGGGGAAAGGAAAGCAGGGAAGGTGGGCAGGGAGATGTTCTGTCCATGGTTTGCAGACACCCATACAAACCAAAGGCATGTCTAAGTTCATTCCTCACCCACCAGAGCAGAGACAGCTCCAAATGTCCCTGTGAATCCCTGCCCTGGATGTGCGGTGAACTGGGGAAGGTTCACACTGGGGCACACAAGACACAGAGTGCTTTGGACCTGATTAGCATAAGAGATCTGATAATTAGCATGCCTTGGCAAGAACAAGCAGAGCTTTGAGGGTTGAATCAAGACCAGCTGAAGGTTGAATCAAGACTGGCTGATAGGAAAAGAAGAATCAACTTCTGCAAGCAAGAGATGTTGCAGAGTGTAGAAGTTTGTTTATGTGATGATGAACCCAATGTAGTAAAACATTACTAGCCTTCCTAGAATAATATATAAGAATATATAGTCCACAAAAAATTTGGATTCTGACCACCACTCAGTCTCTCACCATTGCTGATAGTTCACACATCTCACACTTCTTTGGGATTGTCTTTGGGACAAATCCTGCCCTCACAAGGACAAAGGGAAGGGAAATGAGGGTGTATAAGAATAGTATGTAAGCACATGTAGGCCACAGTAAATTTGGATTCTGATCACCACTCAGTCTCCCCATCTCTCTCACCATCTCACCACGAGAGTTTCACACATCTCACTCTTCTCTGGGCTTGTCTTTGGGACAAATCCCAAAGTCCTCACGGGGACAAAGGAAAGGGCAATGAGGCGTCTGTCACCTGCAGGAAGAGCACGGAGTCGCTGATCTGGTGGATCTGCTCCCTGTTCTCCTTGTCCTCCCGCAGCAGCTTCGCCCTCTCCTCCAGCTCATCCACGATCTCCTTCACGTTCTCGGAGGCGATCTTTTCCCTCTGATCCAGGGCAGCCTTCACCTCATCCCTCTGCCTCTCCAGGTCACGGATCAGCTCCTTGAAGTGCTGATCCACCGTGGCTTTCTCGTTGGTGGTGTAATTCTGGGTGGGGAAGGGGCAGAGAGAGGAGGCAGCGGGAAAGAGGAGCAAGACAATATTAAAATTTCACTGAGTTCTTTGCTAACAGAGAGACACAGAGGGGGATAAATCCAAGGATTCAGCATTTAGAGTATGGAAACTCCAGCTAGGCAAGTCTCAGCTGCAGGAAAGTTGTGCCAAGAGAAGCAATACCTGCTCCTACAATATTCACATGGATGCAATCCAAAAGGGCCACTGCCTTCCCAGCGGTAAGAGCAGATCTCCAATTTCAATTCATGCACTCACAGGTGACATTTAAAAACACTCTGTAACCTAAATCAGGGCTCTGGCTCCTGGATTGTTTGAGGACCAAATTCCCACCATTTCAAAGGATGAAAGGTGCTGAAACACTTTTTACAAGCCTGACCTCGAGGTGCCTCTGAAATATTCCTCAGAAGGACTGGGGATGTAACTATACTGAGAGTCAAAATTTCTAGGTCAGGTTTCCAATAATAATAATAATAATAATAATAGTAATAATAAAGCAGATGAAAAGCATAGCTGGTGAGCCAATGTGCTAGCACCACATAAAAGGGAAAAGAATGGCTTTGCCTGTTAATATTATGCAAATTTTCTGGGGTGTCTCCAACTTGTGCTTTCACTGCTTTATTCAGTTAGGCTATAAATGAAAAAAATAATACCATGACTCTCTTCCAACCCTTACCACAGTGCAAGAATTACAAAGGAGCCCTCTCTCAGCATGGAAATAAGTTGTTCCACCATAAATAAGATATTTGTTGGGGTAAATTCATATGCTGCTGCTGTCTTATCTCAGTTTGGGCAACCCAGAGCCCTTCTGCAGGTTATTTGTGGATTTTGTTTCTAAATCTGCCTGGCTACTGGTGATGGAAGGGCCATAAAGGACCTAAAAAAGGAGCCAGAGCAGGGAGGTGCCTTGGTTCTATATCAGGGCTCGATCTCCCCACAGGGAATGTTGCAAGATGACTTCAGTGGGAGTTGTTGTTTCCAAGATTTGGCTTGGAGTTTGGGCTGGGGATGAGATAAAGGCCGGGGAAGGGATGCAGTGAGGAAGAGCTGGAGGGAAGGAGAGGGATGTGGGAGAGGAGGGGAGAAGGAATTGGTGCTCACAGGAGGGAGGGGTGAACTGGACACCTCAAACGCACCTTGATGCGGTCCCTCTCCTTCTGCCACTTGTCCACCTCATCTTCCACCTCGATGATCTTCAGCTGCAGCTGCTCCTTCTGCAGTGACAGCTCGGTCTGTGGGGAGGAGAGGAGAGGGGAGGGAGCCTGGTGAGCTGGGGCTGAGGGTGGCCCCTTCCACCAGCCCCGAGCCTGCCCTGCTGTGTCGCTCTTGCGCCAAGCATGACACAGGGACAGGCCAGGTCTGCCTTGCAGGTCTTCTCCAGTTTTGCAGAAAGAGCAAAAGAAGGCTTTATTCAAGAGAAACACGTGGTTTATATAGAGTGATAGGATACATTCTGTCTGACTGGCTACTTAACAAAAACACCTTCCTCACACTCCTTGAGAAGAACAGAAAGACGAAGCAGAAGAACACCCCTGCAGATTGTTTCTACTTAACAAGTTACCACATCCTTCCAACTCCCTGAAAGTTCTCACAAGCCCGTGTGAGAAACGCTTCCCGTTCCTCTCTCTCTGTCCCACGGCATCCACACTGCTGTGCTGAGCAGAGCAGCGGGGAGGTCCAGGCTGAGCCGGGCATCACGTGCTGCCAGCGGGCACCGTCCCAGCAGATTCAGCTCCCTCAGCAAAGCAGCAGCACCCACCTCCCAGGCTGTCAGGGCGCTGCTTTTAATCACATGGGAGTCATGAGCTTCAGGGGAAGGGAGCTGTTTCAAAATTCAGCTGTGTGTGCAGAGCAGGGCCCAGCCCAGGGTGTGCCTGTGCAGCAATAACAGTTTTCATGCAATTACGGAATGACGTTTGACGAGTGTTGCAACAAGAGGATGATGCCTCCGGCAGGAATTCTGTTTAGACAGGATTGTGGATTAATTTGCTCTGAATTGAGAGCTTTCATGTAGCGATGGAGCTGGGGAATGCTTGGAAAAAAAAAAATTGTAAAGGAAAAAAAAAAAAGCCACAAAAGGAGGAGGGAAGAGGTGTAGTCAACCTGCTCGGCTGAGATCAGCAACTTCACTGGGATTCATTTGCATTTCGTTGTGCAGTGGCTTCCCAGAGAAGCTCAGACCTGAGACTTGCACAGGAATTTGTGGCAGTGGAGACCATGCGCTGCTTCCCTGGATCATTTTTTCCCTGGATCAGCCCTGGACCTGGATGTTGGCAAAGCCTTGCCCCGTTAACTCCAGCAATGCCTCCCTGGGTCGTTCCCGTCCTCCATCCCTGCCCCACAGATCCTGCCCCAGACTTTGTTGGGGCATTTCTGCATTTCATGTGTGTGCAGGTTGGTCTCAGCCATGGCTGGAGGCAATCTGGCTGTGGGATACCCAGCCCAGAGCTGTTGAGGAATTTCGGAGTTGGCAGAAATTCCATGTTCTGTCATGTTAGGAGAGTCCTGAGAACCTGCTGTTCGTGTGGGATCTTCTGCAAAATCATTAGATTAACCCAAACCACTGAAATTCAGGCCAACAATTAGAGTCATGGATGGATAAATCCACTCTCACTTTCCAGCTGTCCATCCAGGAATGTACTGGGACATGGAAATCTGGGTCTTTATTGATCAGAGCTTGAAGGTTTTCAGTTCTCCACTCGAAATGAAGAGCAGGAAAGAAGCTGTGAACCAGCCCAGACAGGAGCTCTTGTCCTGATGCCAGGCAAGTGTCTGAACAGCCTCTGGAGCTGGAATCCAGCACAGCTGCTCTGAGAGCCAACAACCCCAGCTGTTCCAACTCAGAAAATCTCTGTTTATGGAGGGACAATGGTTGGATGGTGGTTTGTTGCTTTATAAAACACAGGAAAAGTGGGCAGAAAAAAGGGAAGTATGCTCAGAGGTGTCTCAGTGCCTCAAAAGCTGCATCCTCACATTGTTTTTAGGAGTTCTAAATATTATCCACACACCCTCAGTAGTGGCCTGAACGCTGCCGTGAGCTGATTCTCACCCTCTCCAGGGGTTCAGGGCACACAGGGAATGATTTTGTGGCACAGCTACAGCAGGGAACCCACACAGGCTTCCAGATGAGAAAATCTGCTCTGCTACTGATCAAAAGAACAAAGACAGGAGTTTGATCCCATCATTTTCACATATTCAAGACAGTGGCTTGGAGGAATTCCTGCTGGTTTCCATTCCCACGTGCTGTGGGAGATGTCCTGTGCATGGAGACTCTGCACAGCAGGGAAATGCAATGAGATGAAAATATTTTAGATCCATTTATCCACTGCATTAACCAATGTGAGAAATTACACCCAAATTCCAGTTGTTTCTTTGAGCCACAGAGATGCATCTAGTTGGCAATGATTGCTTGTGAAGTAAAAAGCTCATCTCCAGAGCTTTATTTCCCTCCTCATCCCCAAAAATCAGGACATCCTTATAAGAATGGGAGGAAAATCCTACAGAGAAGGACTGGGAGGAATTTCTGGGGAAGAGCAGAACTTTCACAGCCACGTAGACATCCAGAGAAAATGACAGGAAAAAAATATCAGGTGATGGCTGGAAGGTGGTGATAACAATATTGTGCTTTTGTGGTCCTTTTTAATTAAGATGGGTCTCCAAGGAATTTTAGGAACTATTATTTGTAAAAGTGATCGTGACTCGCAGCAGTTCAAACATCCCCCAGAAAGGTGGTGTGGGATGTAACAGCCATTTAAGAGCAGAGGCACGCAACAATTTGGAGCAGGTTTATGACTTGCAAATGGAAATTACAGAGATGGTCCCAATGGCCAGGATGCAAATCCCACACTTAGCCAGATTTGGCAAAGGGGAAACGCCAGCACAGAGTGCAGCAGGGGCAGGGGAGGTGAAGGGAGGTGTGATTGTGGGGTACTGCATGAAAGTAAATAAACACTACCAAAAAAACCAACCCAAACATAGGAAAAAATGTTAAAGAGAGGTGCAGGGAGACCCTGGAATAGTGGAAAAACTGGTGGCATGGGCAGAATGGTTCAGCAAGGGTGTTCTGGAGGTGGAGCACAACATCAAAGGTTCAGGAGGTGATTTCCTGATGGTTTTAAGAGCTTTTTTTTTTGTCTGGAAGGTTGCTTTGGCTGCCCATGTGTATGACAGAAACACAGTCACAGTGTGGGGGCCACAGGGGTTAGGGACAGGCAGTGCCTCAGCTTCACTGCCTAAGAGAAAACTCTTATCTGTCTTCAGATTTCTCAGATTTTCCAGGATCAGAAATCCTTGATGGACCCTCTAGAACAAATCCATTGGAGGATTTGGGGTTCAGAAGGTCCTAATGAGAGATAACACAGCAACACCCCCATTGTGGGGTCCCTCCAGAGCAGAAACAACAGGAACAGTGGGGGGAAAAGCCAGGAAATCCAGACTTAGGCAATTTTTTGAGCACAACGGGCTGAGAAATGAAGGCACTGAGAACCTTCAAGCTAAGATTGGATCCCCAATTAGAGCCTCAGTTAATTAGGGCAGTTAAGAGGCTTCAGTGAAAGTTCAGAGTGTACATCCAAAGAGCTGAACCCAGCCCTGGTGCTGTGGAGGAGCTGCAGATGGGAGATTACGAGCCCTGCACGATGATGCAAGTGCTTTGTGCAAGGAGGCAGCAGCAGCACAAGCAGCATCATGCCCTGAACGCTCTGGGAACAGCCCCGTGTCCCCAGCCTGGGAGAGCTCTGCTAATTAACCAAGGGAAAGCAGAAGTGCTGTTCCAACTCGTTGTCCCAGTGCAGTGGCTGAAAAGTCAGGGAGGTGTTTGGGACATGATTTCTGCTGGGTGCACAACTGCATTTTCCCATCTCTGTTTCTGTTAAGCAGAGCTGGGTGTCAGAGGGCTGAAACCCCTGAAAACTCTGCCAGCATCCCTTAAAATGCCACTGGAAAAGCTGAGTCTGCACAGCTTGGAGAGAATTCCTTGCTTGCAAACAAGTGGATTTTCCCTGGATTTTGTCCTCAGTGTAGAGGATTAATCCAGAATTCGGGCAAACAGACAAATTTACTCCAATTTCCAGCTGGGAAGAGTGTCCTTCCTGCAGGAAACTCTGGGGAAAGAACATCTATTTTGAGCTGTGTCCACAGAGAAGCCACAGCTGGTGTAGGTAAAATCTCACAGCCACGCTGCAGCAGTGAGAAAGGCCCCCAAGCCCTTCCAAGGTTTCATTAATTTTGCTCGGTGAAGGTGATGGAGGGATGGGAATCCCTCTGGATCCATCTCTGTGGATGGCTTTCTTCAAAGCCTGGCTCAACCTTTGTTAAAACCTCCCCTTTTCAAAGCAGCTCTGTGGGAAGGAGGAACACCCAGCTCCCCTTCCTGTACCCACAACGAACTTTGCTTTAAAAGATAAAGAATTACAGCAAAAAAAAACAAAACAAAACCTCAGATCAAAGTGTTTTTCAGCAGAGCTGACCTGGCGTGCTGAGCACCAAGGCTGGTGCTGGAAGGTAATGCCAGGTTCTTTCCAGCTCTGGGACTGGCAGGCAGAGGTGAAGTTGTCTCCTTTGGAGAGCAGCCCTGTAAAACAGGTTTGGGATGAAGGATCCCCTTTCAGAATGAAGGATGCTGGCTCCAAGGGGGGGCTCTGCTGATAAATCAGGGTTTTATTGGACTGTACAAGCTGCTGTGGAGCATTCTCACTTTTCAAGTGTGAGTTGTTATTCCCCAGCCTCACAGACCTTTTCCTGGCTGTTTTTTTGCACTGGTTCTGGTGCAAACTGTTACTTTTCCTTTAAAGCTGCAGCAGGAAATGAATGCAAAGTGGATCTGGGGAGAGCATTAAAGGTTTGCTGGGTAAAATAGGCAAATAGCACTGGGTGGGAAGTCAGGACAAATGTCTCTGTCTGAGTCCCTGTGCCTTTCACTTGTGTCTGCTCAGCAGGAACAGGGGGTGAGTGACTCTCACCCCAGGCTCCTGAAAAGTGGAAGATGCTGCTGTGCTCTCTGTCTGGGACAGAGATATCAGGCTTTGCACTGCCCTAACTATAGGTGTCTGTGTTCTGGCTTGTTTGCATTCCTCTTCTCTGTCTGCTCCCTGAGACAAGCAGGGTTTCCTAATTCCTTTTCACAGCCCCTCTCCTCCCTGCAGGCCCACAGCAAAGACAGGCTGAAATCTGCATTAATTCTGCAGACCTGAAGGGCAGATGCACCTAAACCAAGCTTATTCTGTGACACTTTTGTGCCACCAAATCACTGAGCTCCCAGGCTGGCAGCGCAGCAAAACAAACCCCAGTTCTGGAACCCTCTCCAGGTCAGCAGCCAGGGATGAGGAGATCCTTGCAGATAAATCCTGGACACCCAGCAGGGTGTGAAGGGCTCTGTCAGGACACAGCTTTGCTCTGGTCACCACTCCAGTGACAGGATGGATTTGGATGTTTTAAAGCTCCTCTGGAGCTGCTGGGATGCCAAGCTGGGAGAACAGGGCAGGGATAGGGATGACCTGGTGTGAGGTTGTTGCTTCTCCCTTCCAAAAGGGCAGCAGCACCAGCCACCCTCCCAGTTTGTGGTCACAAATTCCAGCCGGGCTGATTTGATAAGGAGAGGTGTTACACACCAGAGGCTTGGAAATATTCAGTGCTCTCTGTGGCTCCTGCTCAGGCTCCACCTCTGGTGAATAAATCAGGGGTGGGAACAAATTTTTGTAGGCAACAGCTTTGCTGCTAATTGTTTTTGTCTGAGTGAATGCTCGCTCGAGTTACAACATGATCAAACTCTGTCAGGAGAAACTCACACATGGGCATGATTCATGGTGATAAATCCTAAATCCTTTAGGCTGAATAGCAGCAGAGCCAGTGCAGGAGCTAAAGGTGGCACAAGGACTCAGAGACAGGAATCAAGCAGCATTTAAATCCCATTCTCTGCTCATCCATGGCTGTGCCTTTAAAATCAAGGTGCTGGAGGTGTCTCCAGCCACAGGAGGAAGGATCTGAGCAGCTTTGCTTCCTCAGGAAGCAGCTGCTCACCTCGTTGCAGGCAGGAATTGGACACCTTGGCAGACACCAGGCACAGCTTTATGTCAGAGCTCTGCAGCGTTCAGGGCTGACATCAAAACCACGAGGATGGGCAATTATGGAACAAACAGCAGGCTGGCAAGCCCTGCAGGAGTTTGGGAAAGGTTGTCTGAGACGTGGAAAAGGCTTTGTCTGGTTTCAGCAGGGCTGCAAGCTGAGGAAGGCATGGCAAGAAAAGACCAGAGAAGCCAGAGATAAGCTCTACACAAGATGCTCCTTCAGCCTGATGAGATAAATCTTCCCAGCTCCTTGGAAAGAGTAAAATTGTTCTTCCCATTAAGGGAACTCAAGCATTTCTCACAGCAGGTACCTGTGTCTGCCTGGCCACCACATCACAGCACTGGTTTGGGGTTTAGGAGATCTTAGTGCCCTTCCAGGTTCTGACTGTGTGACTCCAGGCACATTGTTTTATGTAATTATTATTTTACAGGTCTCTTTACTGGCATCTCTCCTGTCTTGTCTGCTTAGAAAGTTTCTTGCTTTTACCACGGGAATGTGCAGCAACAAACGTGGTGAGACCCTGATTTTTTGCTAGAACAAGTGAAATCCTCCTCATCCACCCAGAAAGCAAACAACAGGAGGCTTTGAGCAAACAAAGGTGAAAGACATTTCATCAGTGAAATCTCCCTGAATGTCCATCCTCTGGACCTGGTGTAGTAACACTTCAGGGGAAATGATCGGGTTTTGTTCTTGCACCCAGGTTTGGGGTTTTTTTCCATCTAAACTTCAAAAGACTTTTTCCATAGGTGTGGCTCAACAGAAAAGAAAAAAACAAACCTAATCTCACTCTCAGGAGCTGAGATAACAATTTTCAATAGTTATTAGTGCCCATGAGTAACTTCAGCAGCCACTGATTTGGCAATTTGTATTCTGGAGGTGCTGACCCTGAGCAGTGCCCCCTTTCTGTGGGCAACACCACACAAACACTGTCAAAACTCAAGAAAAATTTTAAAAACTTATCATTTAGGGCTTTGATTCAGCTTCTGCTGGAAGTCAGGTGTGCTGGCAGCCAGGTTCTCCATCCCTAAATGCAGCCTGCAGCCCAACTCCAGCGCTGTGCTGCTGCAGCCAGGATCAGGAGAACACCAATCCCATGGAAACAGCAGCCAGGGAATGTCAACTCTCCACTAAACACTTCCCACCAGCACCACTGCATCCAGGATTCCACCCCAGGCGTGACCTGAGCAGGGATTGCAGGCTGGAGAGCAAAGGCTGTGGTGTGACATGGGCATCTGCAGGCTGCTGGGAACATAAGGAATGAAAAGAGAACTAAAAAGAGAAAAAAAAAAGGAGAATAAAATTACCTCTTTCCCCGCCTTCTCGATCTCCACTGTCACCGTGCTGTGGTTCTTGTGCTCCTGGAACATGCAGAGGTAGCAGATGCACATCTGGTCTGTCTGGCAGAACAGCTCCATGGTCTTGCCATGCACAGGGCATTTTCTGGCTTCGAAGTCCCTGATGGGGTCCAGGAGCTGGTGGTCCCGGAAGGCTGCTCCCTCCAGGTGGGGCTTGAGGTGCAGCTCGCAGAAGGAAGCCTGGCACACCAGGCAGGACTTCACAGCCTTCTGCTTGTTGTCGATGCAGGAGTCGCAGAGAACGTCCTCCAGCTTCACGCGGGGCCGCGAGCCCGCGGCTCTGTCGGCCTTGTTGAAGGGTCTTCTCAGGTCCCCCGTCTCCACCAGCGGCAGGGAAGATTTCTTCAGGTCCCCCATCTGCCCTGCAGAGAACAGGGACTTCCTCCCTTCCCCGTCAGCGGGCAGGAAGCTCTTTTTGGAATCCAAGGAGAAAAGGGACTTCCTGAGGTCGCCCTTCTCCGGGAAGTTCAGGGCTGGTCTCCTCATGTCTCCGATCTGGCCGCTGGCAAACTGCATCTTCTTGGAGTCTGCCGAGTCCATGCTGAAGTAGGTTGACCTCTTCTCGTCGGATGACTCCACAAACTGAATGATGGGCCTCTTCCAGTCACTCCCAGAGAAGAGGGAGCTCTTGATTTGCCCTGTCTCCAACGCAGCGCCGCCCGTGCCTTTTATAGCTTCTTTCTCACCTCCGCCAGCGCTCGTGGCCTTCTTGGCTTCCTCTTCTTTTTTGGGAGCAGTTGGGCTCTTCACGTCCTCGGGCTTGCTGGCGGTGCCGTTCGTCCTGGCTGCGCTCCCCGTTTCCATGGCCTGAACAGGGTCTGAGGTTTCTCTGCTCGCTCTCTCAGCCCCCTCCAAGGCAGGCAGGCTCTGCCTGGTGCTGGTCTCAGCGAGGAATGGCTCTGGAATGCAGAATGCAGGGAACCTTCCTGCCCCAGTGACGCACCCCGAGCTCCTGAGGAGGAGCAGCGCGCCCGGATCGCGCCCAGGTGGATGCAGGGGGAAAGAAAGGAGGAAAGGAAGGAGCAGACGTGGAGGGATCAGAAGCTCCAGCTGTGCACTTAATTATACAAGGCAGTCCACACCCAGGAACATTCTTGTCTAACCAGGTTGGGGAGGAAGGGCTGTTTATATACATAGAAATGTCTCCTTAAAAAAAAAAAAAAAAAAAAAAAAAAAAAAAAAAAAAAAAAAAAAAAAATTTTTATTAAAAAAAAAGTTTCCTTAAAAAAAAAAAAAAAAAAAAAAAAAAAAAAAAAAAAAAAGAAAAGGAAAAAAAATCATTTTCATTAAGATGTGGCAACCAGTTCCACTGCTTGTTTCAAAAATAATTTGGCCGGCAGCTGAGGCTCCCTCCTTGCAGAGATGGGCAGGGTCGGGGAGACCACGAGATGCCCAAGGTGGGTTTGTTAACTGGGTCATAGCCATGCACCTAAATAATTAGGGTTGTAATTAAAATGAACGCCTAGAATAAAGCATTCTTCAAGCAGGCTCCCCCCAGGGCTTGCTGCTTTCAGGATGGAGGAGAAATTCATGGTTAATACTGGGTTTAAATGGCCCTATTATCTTTATTTTGATTTTATTTTGGGTTTGTGCAAGGTCTGTCCATCTAGACCTGGAAATAACCCACCCACAGATCAGAACAGGTAAAAATTGGCTGGCCCTGCTTTTCCCACAGGCCAGGCAATCTCCAAAAGATGAGTGGTGAAATAAATCCCCCATTGTGTGCTCTGAAATAAAGGTTCAGGTGTATCCTACGTAGCTCTTCCCATAAATGCCCTCAGAACTGGAACACACCTGGAACACACCTGGAAAATGAACCATTGTGCAGCTTAGATGGTCAAAATATGTCTTGCCAGGGAAAAGAAGTGAAAAAGTCTGAAAAACAGTCTGTCTCCAGCAGCTGAATTCCTGGGAAATGTTCACTTGTTGGAATCACAGACTATTTCAGGAGGAAAAAAAGCTCTTTATGAGCACTGGTGGATTCCAGCGACTTCTAAAGGATGAGGCTGATCTTCCTTTCACATCCCTTCAGATTATACTTGGAATTTCAGTGAGATTTCTCTGAGATGAATGCCCAGGGTGCAAATTAACTACACCAGAGATTTGTGCTTAATTGAGTCTTCTCAGAACACCCCGGTGGCACTGCTGGAGACGGTGATTTTTACCTGTAAAAAATCTCCTTAAACATCCACCAGGAACCTCCTGATGGAAGGGATTTGAGTAAAAATCCAGCTCTGCATTTTCCAGCTTTTTTTGAGATATGGAAGAAACAGAGGCAAAGCAGGAACAGCATAAATTCTGGATCTGATAGGAGAAGAAAAGAACCTGCCTTACAAATGTAATTTTTAAAGGTCTTGTCTGTGCAAAATGAGAGAAAAAGAAAGTGAAATTCTTTTTCTGGGCCCCTGGCTCATAGATCCAGCCCCTCTCGCTGCCTGCATGTCTTCACAACTCTCCCTTTATGAAAAATGCCTCAGCATTCTGCATTTTTCTGGGCAGTAGTTGTTGGGAAAGGGCATTTCTTTCATTAATAATTTTTTATTAATAGGCCCACAGCCTTTCATGAGTCAGAATTCATTCCCCAGCACAGGAAAGGGCAATGCCGTTTTTTAAGAGCAGATTTCATAAAGGAAAAATTTGACTGACATCAATGCATTTCTTTCCCCCTGGCTTGCTGGGCTGAGCTGTTTTTTAGAACATCAACAGTCCTGTAAGTCTCCAAGTAATTAAAAATTCTGCAGGGTGGAGGCTCCTGTTCTCACGTGTACTGAGGAGACTCAGCAGAGCTGTTCCAGCCAAGGTTCATCCTTCAGGAGCAAAAAACATCCCAAGGAAGAGAGGTCTGGCTTGGACAAAGGTGGCCTTGGTTTGTTTTGATGCTTTGATAAGATTTTGGGGTGGGTAAGGCAGGTAAAAGGTTAAGGATTGAGTTTTTAGAGCTTGGTTTTACTGATGTAAATGCAGATAAATCCCAGAATCCTGGGATGGGTTGGAAGGGACCTTGAAGCCCAGCCAGTGCCATGGGCAGGGACCTTCCACTGCCCCAGGCTGCTCCAAGCCCTGTCCAGCCTGGCCTTGGGCATTCCAGGGATCCAGGGGCACCCTGTGCCACGGCCTGCCCACCCTCCCAGGGAACAACTCCTTCCCAAATTTCCCCTCTTGCAGTCTGAATCCATTTCTCCTTTTCCACTTCCTGATCCAGAGTCCCTCTCCAGCTTCCCCTGCAGATTCTGGGAGGTGCTCTGAGGTCTCCACACAACCTTCTCTTCTCCAGCCTGAACATTGCCACCTCCCAGCCTGTCTCCAGCCCCTTTACCAACCATCTCACACAAACTCTGCGTGAAGGCTCCAGGGACACCTCCCTGTGGCTTCCCAGCGTTAAGGGGGTTTATAAAAAGTGCAGAGGGGGACTTTCTAGATGGGCAGATAACAACAGGACAGGGCTGGAACAGATATTTAGAAGAAATTCTTTGCTCTGGACCTGCTCAAACACTTCCATGTCCTCCTTGTGTCGGGGACCTCATATTCCAGGTGCCAATTTGTGCACACACACATTTTCCAGGCAATTTAGGAGCCAAAACACAGCCCAGCCTGGACATCTCCTTATCTCTGCCCCTCCCAGAGGTGGCTCCTGCTGCCTCCAGCATGAGTTCATTTTTGCAGGAGCATCCCTTGGGATTTTTGCTCTGGTCCCTGCACCGGACAAGTGTCCCCTGGCAGGTCCCTGGCTGTGCCTGTGACTCAGAGCACACACCCACGAGTGGCATCTGCAGGGCCTTTCATCTCCAGGACTCGGCAGAGCTTTTCAAAGGTTCGCAAATTAAACCTGACAACACCTTTGCAAAATAGGTCTGGGCTGGTAACCCCACGTAGCAATCAGGGAAACTGAGGCATGCACTGGGGAGCTGGCAAATTTTTCAGCAAAATGAACGTTTTTTCCCCCCCTGAAATCTCTGTGCAGCCTTTTGGCTTTCTCTTATTTTTCACCTTTGCATCCTCTTATTTTTCATCTTTTGCATCCCCTTATTTTTCATGGTTGTGACCCCTCTAAATCCTTGCTCTTTTTTCTTAATACCTCATGATGCTGCTGTTGGTCGTTTAGAATTTCATTTTGTTGTTACCAGAAAGTTCGGGTGTTTTATTAAAACATTTCCACTCTGCAACATCGCTGCACACGGTTGGTGTTGGAAAACCAATCTCCCCAGGATGAAAAAGTGAAAGAAACTGAGTCCACTTCAAACTAAATAGAACAGAAACAGTTAAGCCAACCCCGGGGCACTCCTTTAGACAGGCTCCAGAGCAGGTTTTCAAACAGCAGCGAGTGATGAAGTCATGGGGAGTCAGGGAGAATTAGCTCAACCAGCCCATGATTCACTGGCCCTGCTTCTCACAACAACTGCGAGCCAGGCAGGAGCAGGGAACCTGCCTGGTAATTGCCTGCTAATCCACAGAGCCTTGCACATCCTGCATATTTCCAGCCCTTTCTCATTTCTTCCACCTTTACATTAAATAAATCCCAGGAGAAGTGACGCCAAGGCGCAGCCGGGGTGTTCCTGCTGCTGGGGAGCTCCGAGATCAGCCCAGCTCCCAGCGGGGCAGCGTTGGGCAATGGCAGGGCAGGAAAGCAGCTGCCAGGGTGACAGCAGAGCTGGCAGAACGAGTTCAGGGCTCCCTGCTGCTCTCACGGGGATCACATCCAGCAGCAGCGCATCCAGCTGGGTCACTGGGCTCTCCTGGGAGAGAGGGCAGCTCTGCACACACTCTGGGTGGGATTTCATGGCTTGGGGTGGAAGGGAGATTAAATTCCATCTCATTCCAGCCCTGCCATGTTCAGGACACCTTCCACTATCCCAGCTTGGCCTTGGACACTTCCAGGGATCCAGGGGCAGCCACAGCTGCTCTGGGCACCCTGTGCCAGGGCCTCTGCACCCTTTGAATAAAGAATTTCTTCCAAACATCTGTTCCAGCCCTGCCCTCCTTTATTTAGTGTAAAACCCCTGTCCTGTTGTTATCTACCCATCTAAGAAGTCCCTCTCTGCACTTTTTATAATCCCCCTTGACACTGGAAAGCCACAGGGAGGTGTCCTGGGAGCCTTCATGCAGAGTTTGTGTGAGATGGACTCGACTTAGATGAGATGGACTCAGTTTAGATGAGACAAACTCAACTTAGATGAGATGGACTCAACTTAGATGAGACAGACTCAACTTAGATGATACAGACTCAGTTTAGATGAGATGGACTCAATTTATAGGGCATAAAGTGAAGCTCAGATGTTTGTGATGATTTGACCACCAGCTGTGCGTCTTAGACTGGGGGATGAAGGGAAGGAAAGCAGAACCAACAGGATTCAGTAATTTGGGGGATGAATTTGGTTCAGTTCTGGTCAAGTCCTACTCAGGATTTGGCTTCCTGCACCAAGATTTGGACTTTTAGGGTGCTGTGAGCATCCAAGGAGCTCCTGCAGAGTAGCACAGAGGCCAAACACCCTTGCAGGGCTCAAACCAGGCCTGCAGGCTATGAGCAGGACCACGGGGAATGTTAATTATTGGCAGAAGTTGCAGCAGGACACGAGTGCCCTGTTGTGTAAGAGCGATACTGGGCGAGGCAGGGCAGCAGTGACAGGGGTGTGACAGCACAGAGCATTTCTGCAGCCTGGGGGACAACCCCTTCCCAGGGCTTCTGCTGAGTCTGGAAAAGGGCAAAACCGCGGCTCAGCATTAAATGAGAGGACACACAGAGGGGAGTCTGAGTTAAAGGCCAACGCCAGATCAAAAAATGTGAATTTACTCATTAAAAACACAGC